GGGCTTTCCGCCCCGGGGGGGCTGGTGGGCATGGGTTTCCTCCCTGGGGGGGCTGATGGGCAGGGGTTTCCTCCCTGGGGGGGCTGATGGGCAGGGGTTTCCTCCCTGGGGGGCTGCCGGGCTGCTCTGCTGCGGTTTCAGCCTGTCTGAGCACCTGTGAGAGGGCTCTGCTGTTCAACCCTGCCCTGCTGCTCAGGATCTCAGCCCTTTTATCATTGTCATCGTTGTCACAGACTGGTTTGGGTTGGAGGGACCTTAAAGCCCATCTAGTCCCACCCCCTGCACGGGCAGGGACACCTCCCACCAGCCCAGGCTGCTCCAAGCCCCATCCAACCTGCCCTTCAACACTGCCAGGGATGGGGCAGCCACAGCTTCTCAGAGCAACCCAGTGCTCTCCTCTACCTCTTCTTCATGGCTCTTCTCCCCAGCCAGTTTATCAGGGCTTGGTTTTGATCCCTCTCACCCAAATCTGGGGAGGGCAATGTCCTGTTTTAGCATGTGTGGGATTGAGCAGCTGCTCTGGGCCTCTGGCTGCCACCCTTGGTGGCAGAACTCTGGAGTGGTGCCACCATCACCATATGCTGTGTCCTCCCTCCCTCCTGGCCAACAGGCAATGTTTGCAGAATGGGACCTTCTTTCCCAGGAGAGCCCCCACAGCCCCTCCAGTGCCAGGAGATGATTAGTGAGGGGTTTAAGCTGTGGATTTATTTTTCTTTCTTTTTTTCCCCTGTTGTAGAAGCAGGGCAGGCGAAGCTGCTGGATCATGCCATGCTGCTGCAGGTGATCAAAGAGCAGCAAGTGCAGCACAAGCAGCTCCTGGACCACCAGGCAAAACTGCTGGCTGTCATTGAGGAGCAGCACAAGGAGATCCACCAGCAAAGGCAGGAGGAGGGGGGAGAGGAGAAGCCAAAGCAAGGTAAGGACATGGCTGGAGAGTCTGACCCTTCCAGGGGCTGATCACTGCTCCAAGCAGCTTTAAGATGGGGCTGGGAGAGATCCGAGTCCCTCGGGCACATGGCTCGTGTGTCTGAGCCAGCTCCAAGGTCAGAGATCACAGGGATAGCAGCCCTCCAGCCCTCCCAGTTTTCCTGCACAGCTGGTTGATGGTGGGAACACTTCTCCTGTCCCCTGTAGTGTGGAATGTGGCAGCAGGAGAAGGGAATCTGGTGAGGAAAAGCTTTGACGCGTTGGTTTTTGTTCCGCAGCGGAAGCGCAGCCAGAGCCCCGGAGCAGGGAGGACAAGGGCCTGGGAGCTGGGCAAGAAGCTGCCATGAAGCCACAGGGCAAAGAGGGGTTGGAGCAGCCCAGGCAGGGCCGGAAGCCCCTGGAGCCTGTGGAGCAGCACAGGGGGACTGCAGGAAAGCTGGACGAGGCTGGGCAGAGGCGTGAGATTCCTGGGATCTCTCCCAGGGAGCAGAAGGTGCTGCCACAGCAGAACGACAGAGCTATTAAAAATCCCACAGAGAACCAGGATCCCCCTCGCAGGGATGCCCAGCACATTCCAGCAGCCAGAAACCACCTAGAGAAGAAGTCCTTGGCAGAGGATTTAGGAGGAGATCGTGAAGCCAAAGCTGGAAGAGATGTCCACGAGAAGAATTCCCTGAAAGCCGTGGAAGTAGCTACAGCTCCCATCCAAAGAGAACAGCTGGGGGCTGCCAAAGTTCAGGGAGTAGCAGGAAAGAGTCTGGAAAGAGACTCAGGAATCGACCTTAAAGCCAAAGCACTGAGTCAGGTGGAGCCCAAAGACCTGGCAGTTGCTCTGGACTCCTCCAGTAAGAGGGACGTGGCAGAGAGCGAGCAGCACCTACGGGAGCACCGGAGAGGTGCAGGCACCGAGGGCGCCGGGCGGCAGAACTGGCAGAGGGACAGGCAGGGGAGGGAGGAGGCTCCTCGGGAGAAGGTGGTGAACGTGGCCCAGGACGTGCAGGAGGATCCCCGGGGCAAGCAGAGGCATGGGGATGGGAGCATCTCAAACGATGCTGAGAAGAAGCCAGGCCCTGAGAATCCTCCTGTCCAAAAGGCTGAGGAAGGAGCAGCTGCCCAGGGGGAGCAGAAGCAGGACCACGACATCAAACCCAACCGGGACCTGAAGCTGCAGGCGGACCTGGACCTGCGCCGGAGGAGGCGGGAGCTGCTGCCTGCCGAGGAGGAGGGGGCTGCACAGGGGGTCTTCATTGGCCTGAACCCCCTCCCAGATGTGAAGGTGAACGACCTGCGGAGCGCGCTGGAGACGCGGCTGCAGCAGGTGGCGGAGGGGGCCCCGCAGGTGGGTCACAGCCGGCAGATCCACCCGGCCCCGCGCGCGGGCGGCGGCTGAGCAGGGTGGTCGTGCTCGTGGGTGGCTGCGGGTGTTGGCCACGGGCACCAGGCCCAGCAGCTCCCCAAGGACGAGTCAAGTCATCCAGCTGTGTTTTTGGCCGCTGTTGGCTCAGGCAGGGGTTGGGCTGAGCCAGCAGCACACAGCGCTGGGACACCCAGGATCCCCTTGTACCTGGGAGCATCATCCAGGGAACCAGAGGCTTCTCCTCCCTGCATGTGTGGCTGCAGGTGGCCAAGGAGATGGCAATGCTGAAATAAATGATCCTGCTCTCCTCCAGCTTTCAGAGGTTGCCCTGCTCCTTGGTCCCCTGCCAGACCAGCTTCCAAGGACCTTTTTCACCATCTCGTTCATATCAAATTGCCTTCTTCAGCTGGCTCTTGACTGCCCTTTCAGAACTGAGGTGCTGCTCCTCCACAAGGTTCCCTGCTTGGAAAGGCTTCTCTGATCCCTGCCTTGCGTCCTCTGGGGTCGTGTGGGGGCATCAGGAGGAGGGAAAATTGGGATCACAGCTTTTGGGAAAGGAGCATCAAGTCATGAGTTGAGAACCAGCTTAGCCAATTGCTTGGGTGTTTCTCCTGGAATGGGAGCTGTTAGCCTTGCATGTTTAGGAGATAGTTGTGGTTTATGAACCTAGTTTAGTAGAAATGCTGCCTTAAACGGGCACAACAGCTGCTGTTGTGCTGCCTCTACCCCAGGGATGCCGGGGGCGGCCGCACACAAGCAATAACCCGGAGCTTCGCCCTCCCCGGACGCTCAGCCCCCATCTCTGCTTTCAAGCTTGACTCCTTCTGTCCAAAGTGCATTTATGAAGCTCAACTCAGGGGCTGCGGGCCCCTCCCCCCTTCCCTTCCCAGACCAGCTTGTTTTTTCTGCAAGAGATGACTAATTTGGGAACAAAAGACATGGCTTCAAAGGGCAGGCACGGCGCTCAGGCTTACCTACCTCTTCTCTGTTCCACACAGTTCAGTGTGTTTGTGTGTTCTTCCCAGCCCTGTTTTACATCCATAGATGTCCCTGCTCCACCCCTGGAAATGCATTTTATGAGCAAGGAAAGGAAGAGCTTCTATGAGAGCCCTGGTTCCTGCCAGGCTCCCAGTCAGTGATTCATCCGTTTGGTTTTTATTTTGTTTTTACATCCTGACTTGCGAATGTAAGAAATCAAATCCCAAAGCTCTCGTTACAATGACTGAAATTTCCCAGCCTGGAGCCTACAGACCTCATCACTGTGGTGGTTTTTATATCCGTATCTCCAAGTGTCTTTGATAAACTAAGCCTTGTGGAGTTGGCATCTGCTGGGACCTGGCAGGGTTGGGTTGTTACCGGACACGTGGGGCTGTCACACCAGCTCTGGTCACTCGCTGCCCGCCCAGGACCCTGTTCCTCATCTTAATTTCTGATTAAAACGACTCAGAGCCACAGCCAGGACTCGGGTGAGCTTCAGGAGGGCCCCCCTGCCATTCCCCGTGACTGTCACGGCCTTAACCCCGCGGTACAAACCAGCGTCTCCGTTCCGCTGTCCTGAAGCACAAGGAGCGTGGCCGGGATCACGCTCTGCCCGCAGCGGGTTCCCC